GTTGAATTTCGATTTTCTTGATTATAAAAAATTGTTTTGGAATTTGATTTGATTTTTTTTTAACCTAGATAATTTAGAGTGGGATTTGCCTAAGTTGATTGATCTATAATGTGTATCCATTTGATTCGAATTACTGCCCTAATCATAATTAGAACTGCTGAATAGCCAATGATAAGTACATCTTGAAATCAGAACACCTATGGGGACATTAAGCCAATGTGCTAAGTCCTTCGAAGGCAATATGTTTGAACTGTGATCTTTGATTGCAAAAAGATTTGACCTAATAGATTTATCATTTTCGTAAAGATTGTTGATCTGTCGATCCTATTTAAGTTTTTGAAATTTATGTATCATTTCTCATTATCAAAATTTAGCCATGCTCTTTTTTAATCGAAAAAATAAAGAGTTGGTTTTGCATATATGCCTTTTCATACGGATTTTCCATTGTCAAGGTTTGTCATTCATACAATTAATCCTCATACACATTCGGTTTGGTCCCAAAATACATCAATTGAGTTTGAGAATAAAATTTTGCTAAACGTTTCATCTGAGAAGTCATCATTTGGTGCTATTATTTTAGAGCTGATCACGAAATGTCGGGCTCCACTCTTGCCTTCTAGTGTGTCACTGGATGCAGAGTTTTGTGTTTATGGTTATCAATTAACTTTCTCCTCATTTAAAATAGCTTTTTTCTTGATAGAGTGCATTAAGAGATGGCGGAAGGTGAGGATATTCAGCCTCTCGTGTGTGACAATGGAACAGGAATGTTAAGGTAACCACCTAACAGTCATAGTCTGATACTTACAATAATGAATTAATTGGGTGCTTGGATCCTTCATGAAATGTTTATTATTATTATTATTACTTGATCTCAAGATTTTCAGGCTGGATTTGTTGGAGATGATGCTCCAAGGGCCATCTTCCCCAGCATTGTGGGACGTCCTTGACACACCCGTGTGATGGTTGGCATGGGCCAAAAGGATGCCTATGTTGGAGACGAGGCTCAATCGAAGAGAGGTATTTTGACGTTGAAGTACCCAATTGAGCATGGAATTGTCAACAATTGGAACGATATGGAGAAAATTTGGCATCATACATTCTACAGTGAACTTCGTGTGGCTCCAGAAGAACATCCAATTCTCTCTTTCCCTATATGCCAGTGGTCGTGCAACAGGTAAGGAAGTGGAATCAAGTCTCTTTACACACGTGCATTCTGTGCCCTTCTTTTTTGATGAGAATAAATTGGATCAATGTATATAATAGATATCAGACCCTGTTTTCAGCATTCATATTAAGCACACACCGACATATTTGGTATGCAGTAGTGGATAAGACTAGATAGTATGATGGAAAAGATTTTCTCTTTTTGGTTCCTTAATATGGTCAAGTACTATCTAATCAAATGTACCAAACATGCCAACAGTAACTAAGTTACACTAAAATGGGAAAAGTCATTTTCCAATTGCATAATAATACCTTCCAACCTAATTTTTCTGAATTTCATCCCTTTCCCATGAAAATATCATCTCAATTGAAAAATGCGTCCAAATGAATATGCACTTTGAGCACCTAGTGGAGTGCTGTGTTTCTTTATTGCTGATAGTTTACGAACTTCAGTACACTAACTCCATGTTCCAAAAAAATCGCTCATTTCGTTTGTCCATTAAACTATCGAGTTATATCCAGTACTCTATACTAAACATATTCTTAGAGAATTGACTACGGATATAATGTTGGATTGCTCATTTCTTACAGGATCTTGAATTATATGGATTATATCTATCAACTGCAATAAGTTTAAAGTCTCAGAAGCCAATAAATGAAACATACTGTTGATATAACACAGATTTCCCAGCCAACTTCTATAATATTTAAAGCCTAAAAACATCACTTTTATTTGCCTGAAATATACCTCAATTTGCAGTAACCTAACCTTTTTGTTGTAATTGTTAGGAATTGTTGTCAACTCTGGGGAAGGTGTAAGTCATACGGTCCCTATCTATGAAGGTTATGCCCTTTCACACGCCATCATGCGTCTAGATCTGGCTGGTCGTGACCTCACAGATAACCTCATGAAGATACTAACTGAGCGAGGTTACACTTTCACCACATTAGCCGAGCGTGAAATTGCAAGGGACATAAAAGAGAAGCTAGCTTACATTGCTCTTGATTACGAACAAGAACTGGAAACTGAAAGGCCCAGAAATACACG